ATAACATCTCCAGCCCCACCATCTCTGCTGAAGCTATCATCCCCAAAATTCCATTACAGTTCTGAGGAGTTTTAGTTGTGGGTCTGCCCCACTTCGAGTCACAAAGGTTCGAGGCTGCTTGCAAAAGTGCATCTGATGAGAAAGGATAGAGTGAGTGGTTCTGAGAGAGCTCAGGAAAGGACGTAAAAGGTATGGAAACAAGTGAGGCTGGAGGGAGGTGCGCTCGGATCCCAGGGCAGTGGTTCCCGGCGCGGGTACAGATTTGGCTGGGAAATTCCCCGTGCAAAGCAAAGGAAAAATTAGTCTCATTTACCTGACTCACAGTATCTCTAAGATTTATTTCAAAGTTTCTCAAAAGGGGCATGACTTTTTCTAGTGCTGAGATGTGAAAGCTACTTCTGCCTTGATTCCTCGTGAAGAGGACGCTGGGCCAGTCCAGGGAAGGTTCCAGTGTGAGCAGCCAAACCCCGAAAGGACTGTAGCTTGAGTAAAACGGGATTTTAGCGTAGGCAGCCCAGGGCTGGCATGGCTCCTGCTGGGTGTCAGGGGCTCAGGTCTTCGTCTGTTGTTTCTCCACTCCATGGTCCGAGAGCGCCGTCCAAGCTGACCGAAATGGCCCCACTCCAGCCAGCAGGACTTGGGAAGGAGCGATGAAGGACACACCTCCACCCTTCACAGACACATCCTGGACACTGCAGATGACACTTGTGATTACGTTCCAATCAGCCAGAACCTAATCACATGGCCACACTTAGTTGCAAGAGAGGCAGAAAATGGAGTCTTGATCCCAGGCCTAAGTGAAGTGGGCTTCCTGTCACTAGAGCAGGCGGCAGTGTATTTCTTTGCTAGGGCTGCTTGGGAAATAACTCACACTGGGTGGCTTAGACAGAGATGTACTTCCTCACAGCTCTGGAGGCTGGAAGTCCAAGATCAAGGGCTGGCAGGGTGTTTTCCTCTGAGACCTCTCTTCTTGCCTCACAGATGGCTGCCTTCCTGTCGTACCCTCCATGGCCTTTCCTCCCTGCGTACAAATCCTTGATGTGTCTCTGTGTGTGCTGGTCTCCTCTTCTTTTTTTTTTTTTAATCCTCACCCGAGGACATTTTTCCATTTTTTGTTCAGGTAGAGTGGGAGGGAGAGAGAGGAACAGAGAGAGAGAGAGAGAAACATCGATGTGAAGGGACACATCGAGTGGCTGCCACCCGCACGACTGACCAGAGCCGGGGACAAACTGCAACCAAGGTACATGCCCTTAGCGGGAACCGAACCCGGGTCTCTCAGGACCGCAGGCTGGCGCTCTAACCGCTGAGCCAAACCAGCCAGGGCTGGTCTCCTCTTCTTATAAGGACACCAGTCATATTGCCTCAGGACCTGCCCTAACGGCCTCACTCTAACGTAATCACCTCTTTAACGGGGTCCTGCCTCCAGAGACGTCACATCCTGAGGTGCTGGCAGAGTAGATACTGGAGAACACTCAGAAGCTCTCACCACGTGTTCTGCCAGCATCCCTGGAACAGGGTCAGTTCGTTTCTCGGAGCCAGTTGTTCTGTCTCCCCTTGTAAATTCAAGTCTCCTCGAAACCGAGCATCCAGAACGCAGCACACTGCTCTGCACCGAAAGGCACTCAGTGAGTACCGGCGTGTGGCGGCGGCTGCTGCCCGGGGAACCACCACGGAGCAGACTGGCGGCCAGGAATCCTGAGTCTACCGCCGAGGCTTCCCACCAGGCTGCGCTGATTCCGTCGGCGCCTCCTGGCCAGCAGGCTGCTCTGTGGGAACTTGGAGTGGTGCGTTTTAGTCTCAGATGTTCCAAACCAGCGAAGCCCTAAAGCAGTCATTTCTGGCCCTCGTTGGGCATAATTCTAGGGCTTCCACAGAGATCCCAGTAGGTACCAAACTATTTGAAACCCTCATATGAAAAATTGTTTGAATTTTTTCTGGGTCACTTTGCATTGTTTTGTTTTCTATGGTCACCATAGGAATTTTAGGAGGTAAGGAGAGATTATTGCAAGGTCAAAGCCAGGACGCCCCAACTCCAGGAAAAGTTGGAAAATCAGTGCCCTAACCTCAGCAGGTTCTCCCCGAGGCTGAGACTAATGAAATGCCAACAGCCCCAGCTTGGCAAAGACAAACGGGCCCCAGACTTGGAACGGTATTGTTTTCCACTTTCTAACCATTTTGCAAGCTGTTGCCTATTGAACCACAGTGAGATTGCACTTGGAGAGAAGGGGAAAAAATTCCCCTAAAATATGCTGACAGCCTTGCTACCAAGACCTCTCGAATCCACCCCAGGGTTCTGGGCTCTTATTCTTTTCTATAGCAGACTGATCCCCCAAGAGGCCATGAAGTCCCCTGCAAAGAGAACTATTTATACAGCCCAAGACACAGTCTCTGCTTGTCCATTTCTGCCCTAGCAACAGCCACCTCAAATGGCACTTTTGGAAGCCATACAACATAGCTAACTGTTTGTGTTGGACAGGAGTGTATTTAGGGCTTATGCATCTAAACAGACAATTATTTTCTGCTATTTGCTGGTGGCACTGCCTGCCTGGTGACTTTGGCAGATGGGGAAAGGAGCTAATCCGTAGGTTATAAGCAGAAGGGCTATTGATGAAATGTCACCATCTGTTGGTGTCATTAAAATGATATGAGTCATAAAGGGTCGCTTATGTTTTTTTTGTCACAAAAAGGTTAGCTTAGAGTTTAGAAGAAGTGGCTAAATTGCAGATGGTAGTGGGAGACCAGACTGGAGTGTCAACCCTGGAATGGGGAGGAGCCTTGAGGAGCTCATCCAATCAGCTTGATGAGTGTTCAGGGAAGCTCTGGAGTCCTCCAACTGGATAAAACCACCATCTCCTCTGAGACGGGGTACCTACTCAGCATGATGCAGTGCCCCAACTCTGCCATGGTCTTCCCCGTCTCTGGGCCATCTGTCAGGTGGGGAGGGTAATGTCAATTATTTGGTTTAAACAAAAAAGACAATCATATCTGGGAGGGAACAGTTAAAGTGCACCTGTCTCCTTAATTGGTATGGGCCTCATTGCACAGAGATTATTCATGTAGTCAGCTGATACCTTGAGAGGCTGGTGATCTCAACAGGGAACGATATGTTCTACTCAGCTGTTCTCCTGGGTGGAGAAGGAGGCGGCTCAGAAGGGGAACCAGGGACAGCACGCCCATGCTTCCATCATGATGGGAGCCCTCGGGGCGGAGTACAGAAAGCAGTGGGTGGACCACATCAAATTGCACAGCAAAGGAACCAGCTTTTGCTTTTGTGGACTTGATTCATTTTTCTGGTTTCAATTTCATTGATTTCTGCTCTAATATTTTAAAATATTTTCTTCCGCTTACTTTGGGTTTAGTTTGCTCTTCTTTTGTTCTAGTTTCCTAATGTAGAAATGTAGACTATTAATTTTATATCTTTCTTTTTTTCCAACATATTGCACAGCAAAGGGATGGAGAACCTGAGGAATATATTAAATGAGGATCTGGATGACCAAAATAAACTGCACCAACTTCCTAATTCTGCCTCATTACCTAATCCTCTTAATTCCCCCCGCCCCCATTTGCTGTTTATAAACTATTTTACCCACTGCCAAGGACATAGGCCCAAAGAGACAGAACCCACTATTTCCAAACTTGTCCAGTATGGCTTAAGCTTCCTTTTTAATTACTGTTATTATTTTTCACTTGAACTCCTGGAAAGAGTGTGGGTGATTGTGTAAACCACTACAAATCCTCTTGGCGCTACTCGGATTTAAATTGTAAGAAACTGCAATGAGTCGGGCCTCACACCCAGCCCTGCCTCTGGGTGAGTCCTTATGCCCTACCCCACTGGCCTGAACCTGCCTCACCTGCCCACTCCTCAGGGAGAAGGGCGCTGCTGGGAGTCAGTGCTGCTGCTAGAAATAGTGCAGGACGCTGGAAGCAAGAGCCACAGGGACAGGAGCTGTGTGGAGCCTCTGTGGGTTATTTATATGGTCTCAAAGGAAGCATCCTGGAAAAGTTCCTGTTGATATTTTTAGATCTGATGCTTTGTCCTGCTGCTGCACTTTCATTTTTAAATAAGCAGGGATGGAAGTGATAGATGCTGTCTGCAGGGCTGTTTGAAGACGCAGAGGGCCCATCTGACAAGCTAATGGCCATCCTGCCAGGGCCCAGGTCTGCCTTCTGTCTCTTCCAGCTCTGGGATTTCAGAAGCCGCTGACTTCAGCAGGTGACGAGGGAAACCTTGGCCGCCTGCTGCCAAGCCCAACGCTCTGCCCTTTGCCTCTGGCTCTGAGGCCCTGAGCAGTTGACAGCCACAGATTTAGTACTCTTGTTTTCTCGGAGAACGGGACGTATGTTTGCACAACAAGCCAAAGGCTGGAAGTAGAATGGTTTAGAATTTAACGAGGTGATTAAACTGGTTAAAATTCACAACCACCCAGTAATCCATGAGCTTAACTCTTCCAGGGCCAGTAAAAGGACTTGAGTATTGTTACTGAATGACTGCTGTGGTTACTTTCATTTGCCTGTTCAAAATCAGTGCTATAAATTAATTAATTAATAAGTTTTTAAAACTTTTTTTTAAGGAATTCTTCCCCAGGGTTTCTATAATGGATTCTGTGGCTTCGTACTCAAGGAGAAGGGAGGAGGAGGAGAAGGTGGGCTTCGCGATCTGTTGCTCTGCAGCTATGATTTCTCATGAGAAGCTCACGGATCGTAGCTGTAACCCACTCCAGATGAATGACCAGTTCATTTGAGATGCTGAAGAGTGCTTAGGGAAGGAAAAGAAAGTTCTTAAGTCCTCATGGCTGGGTACTGTATTGTTTGTCCCTGGGACTCAGACTGGAACAGATGGGGTTCTCTTACAAACCTAAAAAATACAAGCATGAGGCTGCTGGGGTGATCCAAGAACATGCCTGATGAGGCCTGGAGTTTCCACCTTGCTCTGTGCTCTTACTCTTGTGGCCTGTGGACATTACTGTTGTTTTGTTTTGTTTTTTCATCTCTTTCTACAGCAGACCATAGAAACGGGTGAAGACGAGGAGGACCAGCCTCTCAGCCTGGCCTGGCCTTCCAACCCCCGCAAGCAAGTGACATTCCTGATCGTCCTCCCGATCGTGCTCCCCCTCTGGGTTACCTTACCCGATGTCCGCAAAACTGTGAGTGAAGCGTCTCTGAACCGATTCCTTGTTAAAAAGCAAAGTATGTAACAGTATGCCTAGTCTGCTTCCATGTGTCTTAAAAGGGAAAGGGGGTAACATATATATGTATGTATGCTTATATATGCCTGAAACTTATCTGGACAGATGCAAATAATAGTGACTCTTCAGGTTATTGACTCCACATAACAAACCACCCCAAAACTTAGTGTGAAACCACCACCATATGATGCCACTCGTGGACCAGGAGTTTGAATAGGGCACATTGGGGACGGCTGGTCCCTCTGCTCTGCCATGTCCAGGGCCTCAGCTAGGAAGACGCACAGGGCTGGGGGCTGGAATCATCTGGAGGTTTCTCCACTGACGTTTCTGACACCTGGGCAGAGATGATTCAGAGGCTAGACTCAGCTGCAGTTATCTACTGGAAGGCCTAACATGTCCTTGCCACATGACTTGGGCTTCTTCATGGCACGGTGGCCTCAAGGTAGGCTCCAAGAGTGAGTGTCCCGGCGGCACACGGTGGAAGCTGCATGGTGTCTGATGAGCTAGTCTCAGAAGTCAGGTAGACTCGTTACGTTACTGGTCAAAACTGTCAGAGCTTGTCTTGATTACACCTGAGGGGACAAAAGGTTCACCTAAACTGTATCAGGGTTGAATAATACATGACACTCTGCTTGTTTTTAATCCTCACTCAAAGATATTTTTCTGTTTATCTTCAGATAGAGTGTGTGTGGGAGAGAGAGAGAGAGAGAGAGAGAGAGAGAGAGAGAGAGAGAGAGAGAAACATCAATGTGAGAGGGACACATCGACTGGTTGCCTCCTGCATGACCCAACCAGGGCCAGGGACGAACCTCAACCAAGGTACGTGCCCTTGACCGTAATCGAACCCACGACTCATTGGTCTGTAGGCCAACGTTCTAACCACTGACCCAAACCAGCCAGGGCTAGCACATGACACTCTTGATAGGAGGAGTGTCAAGGAATTTGCAAATGTGTTTAAAACCAGCAGTGTCATCCCTGAGAAGGGGAACCGAAGGTCTGGTTAGGAGGGCAACTCACGTTTTGTTGAATATTTGTGTATATGGATTATTCATTCGCTTCAAAAAAATAATTTCAAGAAATGCATTCATGTAGTACAAATGTCTGCATGTCTAATCTCCTTCCCGTATTGTTATCATTACTGTAATCAATATCATGTTCTCCCTTATCATGTACTGAGTGCTATGGACATCCCCTCTCAGTGTTATTAAACTGCGGGCTAAGGCCCTTGCCCCAAAGGGTGAAAGGACTAGTGAAAGATAAGACGAAAGGCTCTACTTGTTATTACGGCCTTATAGACACATACTCATTTGGCAAAAGTGTGCACCTGCAATGTATCAGACTCTGCCCTAGGTATTGTCAATAAAATATATTGTGGAATCTCAGGAAACAGCTAATGTAAGAAAGAAAGAAAAAATTATATATATATATATATATATATAGTTATATATATATATATATATATTGACTTAAGTAGAAAAAAATTTAAACTTGGGTACAAAGAAGTTAACTAACTCGTGCCTGGTCATGTCCCAGGGGATGGAGCTGAGATTTAGTTTCAGGTCCATGTGACCACACAGCTTGAGCCTCTCAGATGTCATGATGCCAGGAGTGGAAATCTGAAAACATCATTTCTAAAAGTATTTGGAATAGACTCCTGTGGTAACATCCAACATAATTTAGCATAAGTCTTAAGAGTCCTGTGATGATCCCACTTTCCTCACTTGAAAAGAGACAGAAGAGAACCCAGTCCCGTTAGCCTGGCCTGCACATAATCTAGTCTGGTAGAGAGCCATGTCTTGTCAAGTTCAGGCCAGGAAAGGACCCCCTTGTGTAAGGACCCCCGACATTAGAAGTTTCCTAGTAAACCTCTGCAGGACCATTGACAGGTCATTCACTGTGCAGACAGCGTGAGAGCCCGCCCCTGCACCCTGGGCCAGGTTAGCCAGTGGGGCTTCTGCTCATTGCAGCCCCAGCTGCCATCCCTGGGGTGGACTGGATGTTTTCTGTCTGTGTCTGAGTACACTATGTGCTGTCTCAAGCATAAATGAGACTCTCAGACAGAACACTTGATTGTTTTTAGATTTCTTCGGCAAATACTTATTGAGTACCTATTACATACCAAGTATCATGCTTGTGCCCTAAAAGAGATATGAAGACAGAATTAAGGAGTTCTACACTGAGGAGAGGGAACAAAACATAACCACATGTAACTACAGAGCAAGACTGCGCAGCTGTGGTGGGAGAGGAGTCAGACCCGAACCCGAGTCTGCTGACTCCACAGCATTCTCACTCTACCGCGCTGACAGCAGTGGTCTTACCCACACACCTCATGAGCTGTGCAACCTTGAGAAAGTCACTTCTCAACCCCAGACCTCATTGTTTCTCGTCTGTGAAATACAGGGTGGAAGATCTCTAGATTCCCTGGTAGCCATGATCTTCTGTGATTAAGGAAGGAATACAGAGACAACCATCAGCCCTGGCCAGTTTGGCTCAGCAGTTAGAGTGTCGGCCTGTGGACTGAGGAGCTGTGGGCTCGATTCTGGTCAAGGGCACGTACCTCAGTTGCAGTTTGATCCCTGGCCCTGGTCGGAGTCGTGTAGAAGGCAACCAACCAGTCGATGTGTCTCTCTCACATTGATGTCTCTCTCTTTCTGCACTCTATCTAAAAATCAATGGAAGAGTGTACCCTCTGGTGAGGATTTTAAAAAAGAGAGACCGTCAATACGATCCTGCACATTTAAGGAGACCGCACAACCCAGTTTGCCCAGGGTGGTCCCAGTTTACTCTGGGTACTGGTTTGGAAGATAAGTTACGTGTTTATCCTTTACATATACGAAATGCCACATGAAAGAAAGCATGCCACTTCTTGTGCTGCTGCGAGGGCCTCTTAAAAAACTATCCAGGAAAAGAAGAGAACAAGTCAAAAATCATTAATAAATAGACCTTTGCCACTCCTCAGAGCCCGGCAGCTGCACCTCCTCAGTCGTTTTTGAATTACTCACAGAGATGAACATCCCAAACCTCAACAATAATTCCAAAGAAAACATAATTTTTTAAAAACTTATACATCTGGCTGTGGTCCATGTCGCTCAGTTGGTTGGCTGTCATTCTGTGCACCAAAAGGTTGCTAACCAGCAATCTCTGGTCAGGGTGCACGCCTGGGTTTCAGGCTTGTCCTCCCATAGGGGACCAGCCCATCGAAGTTCCAATCTCACCTTGATCTTACTTTCTCCCTCTCCCTTCCTTTCCCTCTCAAAATAAAAAAAAATAAAATAAATTAATTAAAAAATGAATTTTTAATTAACACCTATACATCCAGTTTCAGAGTAAATGGCACTCTCACTTGTTTTTATTTCCACTTCATTTATATGCAAATGATATGACAGTGTTCCTTGTATTGTGTACACTTCCAGCTCAGATAATTAGCATGGGCTTGACTTTTATAGTTTTCTTAAATTAATGGCTTTGTTTTGAAAGTAAAAAGAAACTAAAATGTAAACTTTAATGAGGAACATGTCTTTGATGAAAATTGAAAATAATAAAAGAAATAAAGACCCAAAAGATATATTCTCTCATGACCCAGGATGGGTGTTCTTGCAAATCTGGAACTCATTTAATGAGACATCAAAACATGACTCATCAGAGCTAGGAAAATACCTGAGAACCCAGCAAGGTTTTTGAAATTTTTATCATACATTGATTCATTTACCAAGTAGATTTATTATGTCTACCATGTACCAAGCACAGTTCTAGCAAGGATTAAGTGGTCATTAACCCCAGAGAGCTTGTCCAAGCACACCCATCTAATAAAAGGCAAAGCCAAGACGCTAGGCCAGGCCTCTATAGTCACTTGCTCCTCCCTGAATTTCAGTTTCCTCATCTCTTAAAAACCAAACTGAGAATAATATTATTGAATAACAATTGCCATTATTGTCTGAGCACTTATTGTGTGCCAGGCACTTTGCTGGACAGTTCATGTGCATGAAATCCTCAGAATAACTAGATATTGCTATTCCCTCATTTTATAGATGAAGAAATTGAGGCTTTGAGAAATTAGATCATTTATCTCCAGGCACATCACTGATAATTGGTGAGCAGGGATTTTAATACCAGCCCTATTAATCTAGAAACCACATTTTTAATCTTTAATAGGATTGTTTTGGAGAACTTGGTTAAATATGTATGCCCCAGAACCATATACAGAGTAGATGCTCGGTGAATATTTGTTGAGTTTAAATCAGTAAGGATGTGGCTAATCTGTGCAATGAGCTAATGTTCAGCAACATTTTACAAGCCAAGAAAATATCACTCTGGTGTACTAAAAGCTTCTAATGAGAACATTAGCTGTCAATTATACAAGGAAGCCATTACATTGGGAACAAAATGGCCAGCACACGGACACAATTTGCTTTTTGCTAATTAGTCTTAGGCCCATCCCAGCAGATGTCAGGATGAGCCACCATAAGTTGACGTGGCAGACCTTGGCTATGAGGACTCTTTTCTTCCTTCCATGGAGACTGGTAACTAAATAACTGTCCAGGTGCTACTGGGCAGTGATGTCTGGAATGAGACCGTAGTGTCCAAATAAGGGGAATAGTTCGGAAAAAAAATAAAAAATGAAAGAAGAAGGAATAACCTGGGCTGTGAGTCTGGAAATGGTATGGTAGTTTGACAGTTGAGAAACACTAAACCAAACTGCTGAGGCATGAAGGGAGATGCTTCCAATGCAGGAACAGCAGGGGAGGTTGAGTGCGGCAGATGGCCATACAGCTGCAATGCTGGTCTGTATTTCCCTGATGCTCTTTATATTTCCTGGCATTCAGAGCATAGGCCAGTATTATAACGATGATGGCCATTATGTTTCTGTAGCTGGGTGTATTTTGAGTGTTATCGGCCCTGGTTTTCTTTTGAAAGAGTCACTATAACCTAGATGTTAGGAACACATGCTGTATAGTCAGACCCAGATTTGAATTTTATGTCTAGTTCAAGATCTGGGTACAGAGTAGGTGCCAGTCTTTACATACACATAGTTAATTATGAAGACCTGAAAAGTTATAAAGAAAACTTATTTTTAACTTTTTATTAATGAGTTCCTAATATAAGAGTAGACCAAGGTACATTTAGACGTTCATTCATTACTATTGGCTTTTTGATTAAGAATCATAAGCATCAAGTTTTGAATTAGAGAGGTTTTCACTAATATTGATTTGAACTTAGTTGCTTTAAATCTTTAATCTAATTGCTTAATTTCTACCTTTTGACTGGGAATGTTCTGTGGTTCAGGGAATATTTTTAGATGAGAAATATATTCAAATGATTTGATTCTGAGTTGTGACATGTCAATGAACAGATATACAAAGGTACAAAAATTAAAATGATAACTACATACTTAATAAATGAGTTAAGCTGGAAAGGGCGTGATCTATGAAATGAGGGCTCTCCCAGGGTATCCAGTGCATGTGTCATTCCATCAGGTGTGGAGATGGTGCTCCATTGCCCTCAACAGGAAGCTCAGAATCAAGCTCACTGATTGCTGTTCAATCATATGTGCGGCCACGCCCTCCCAAGAAGGGCCCTTCTCTTCCCTCTGACAGACATGGCCATGGGAGATGAAACCCTCATCGTACTTAGGGTCCTGAAAGAGTGACTTATGAAAAATTGGGTATACCTTAATCTCTAAGGAAAAGGATGAGGACTGGAATTGGCTAAATGCTTTGCAAGGAAAACTTGATTTCTTAGCCCTGGCAATTCCAAAGCTCAGGAAATCTGGTCTCCAGAATCCAGCCAACCTCCCAGCTTTAAAGGAATTTACTTTCAAAAGTGAATGTCTCGCCCTGGCCGGTTTGGCTCAGCGGGTAGAGCGTCGGCCTGCGGTCTGGAGAGACCCGGGTTCGGTTCCTGCTAAGGGCACGTACCTCGGTTGCAGTTTGTCCCCGGCCCTGATTGGGTCGTGTGGGTGGCGACCACTCGATGTGTCCCTTTCACATCGATGTTTCTCTCTCTCTCCCCCCCCCCCTCCCACTCTATCTGAACAAAAATGGAAAAATGTCCTCGGGTGAGGATAAAAAAAAAAAGTGAATGTCTCAACCTCCACTTTGAAAAATTGGTTATTTTTTTTCCTTTAACTTGGTAAACTGCTCACATCCCCAGGAGGGATCTGAATCTTTGACCAAAATAGTTTCCTTCTAGGAAAGGGGAGGGCCCTCACTGGTTTGACTCAGCAGTTAGAGCGTCAGCCTGTGGACTGAAGGGTTTCGAGTTTGATTCCTGGTCGAGCACATGTATGTACCTGGGTTGCAGGTTCAATCACCGACCCCAGTCAACCAAACAGTGTGTCTCTCTCACATCAATGTTTCTCTCTCTCTTCCCCTCCTTGGGTGAGGGATTAACCAAAAAAAGAAGAAGAAGAAGAAGAAAAGAAAAAGAAAGGGTAGGGGTCTGGGGAAACATTTGAGAATAAGGCTGTGGCTACTCAGTGTGGCCTGCTGCCTCCCCAATTTGACCAAGCCTGTTGGTCCTCCAGATAGCCCAGCTAACAAATGACCCCCCAAAAAGCAGCAATCATTTAAAAAAGAGAAATTATTATTATGAAACCTAAGAGAACTATGCAAATGATAATGAAAATATATTGAAAACTTGAAAGTAGTAAAGAGAACATAAGCCTGGTTTGGAACGATAGAGACTGTGTTCATTTTACGTGTATTAAAAAGATCGCCGGGTACAAGTTTATCTTTTTTCCTGTAATGGATTTTTCAGAAGCCATCAAAAAAAGTGTTCTACATGATTGCCCAAGGTCAGCCCTCAGACAATTGAGATAGTTTTCATCCCAGTCAACTCCAGGGTTCATTTCTCTGGACAAAATTGGATGACATTATCAAAGCAAAAATTAGATTGTGTCTCAAAGTGGTAAGCTTTGAAATAAAAAGTGTTTGGCCATAATAGGTGATAGGCTTTCTGAGAACATTTGCAAAAAGGCCCTCCACAGAAAATCACTGATGTTAGCACAAGCCTGGATTTCCCTGTGGTGGGGTCAGGTAAGAAACACTGCACTTTGAGTGTCTGATTCTGGCTGATGTTTGAAGGTAACTTTAAAAGTGCTCATACTATAAGCCTGAGACTGCAAAAAGTCCAGTGGTAGACACAGAACTGGACACAGCACAGTTAGGGATGGAGAACAGAACAGAAAATACCCCCAGGAGCGTGTACTCTGCCACCCCATGGAGAGCAGCACACTGGGCAGCTGTCTACTTCTAGCTACATCAGTGGTTCAGGTGTCCTTGACTGGCCATCATCAGGGATCTATAGAAACTGTAGTAATGGCTTTTTCTGTGTGGCTTTTCCTGACCACTCATGGGACTGTAAGATAAGCCACTCTATTTGTTGTATTCTTTCTGTGTCTTATAAAATGTAATTAATTCCATAGCTTTTGTGGCATATGGATTATCATCTTACATGGGTTGACATAATAGAAACTGATTCTCGTAAACTTGAGCAGAAAAAAGAAGAGGGAGCAAGAGAGGGAGGGAGGATACGGGGTAGTTGATAGATTGAAGGCAAGGCTGAGAAACCAGGCCGTGGAACGTGCATCTGAGCATCCAGCCACAGGAATACACATTCTCTTCAAGATCCATCCCGGGCACTAGCTTTGCAATGATTTGGCTCTAATCGAGTTCACATCCCCAAGAGAGAATCTTACTGTCCCAGCTTGACCAGGGGTGGTTAGGGCCTTTTGATTGCCAGGGGTGGATTTAGCTTTGGACTCTCAGATCCACTGACACTCACCTCTTCCTGGTTCTCTTTCAGTCATCAAGGAAGTTTTTTCCCATCACGTTCTTCGGCTCCATCACCTGGATCGCAATATTCTCTTACTTAATGGTCTGGTGGGCACACCAGGTAAGACCTTGATAGTGACACCATCTGCCTGTGTTGCTAAGTTGTTCATCAGCGTGTTTGCTTTCTGGGACTGTCATAACAGTATTGCGTCTGACGAGACAAGTTAAATATTCCAGGACTAAAGGAATTGACTCCACTTAACTTTCCCTCATCTCCTGCCCTTTCCCTGGAGCCTGGTGTTGAATCTTCACGGCCCTGGTCAGGCATGCGGAGGAAGGAAGGCAACCCTGGCTGCTTCTGGCCCTCTGCAGCCTGAAGCCAGGCCAGGTCAGGCCTGGGAGGAATGTCAAGATGTTGCCTGACTCAATGGCACATACTTTCTCTTGGGCAGCTACTCACCTCACCAGTTTTGGGGGTTTTTTTTTCAATTAAAATTTACAATCAATATTATTTTACATTAGTTTCAACTGTACAGCATAGTGGTTAGACTATCATATATTTTACAAAATGTTCCCTGTGATATGTCCAGTACCCACCTGGCACCAGACATAGTCGTTACAATGTTATTGACTGTACCCGCCATGCTGCACTTCACACCCCCATGACTGCTGTAACTACGGATCTGTACTGCCCAATCCCTTCACCTTTCACCCAGTTACCCAACCCCTCCCCTCTGGCAACTATCAGTCTGTTCTCTGTATCTATGTGTCTGTTTCTGTTTTGTTTGTTCATTTATATTATCTTTTTAGATTCCAAATATAAGTGAAATCATATGGTATTTGTCTTTCTCTAACTGACGTATTTCACTTAGCATAATACCCTCAAGGTTTATCCATGTTGTCACACATGGTAAGATTTCTTTTTTCATTTTATGGCCAAGTAATTTTCCATTTTATATATGTACCACGGCTTTTTTATCTGCTCGTCTATTGATGGGCACTTGGGTTGCTTCCATATCTTGGCTATTGTAAACAATGCTGCAATGGGCATAAGGGTGCATATATTCTCTCTAATTGGTGTTTGGGGTTTCTTTGAATAAATACCCGGGAGTGGAATCACTGGGTCATAAGGCAGTTCCACTGGCTCTTAAGAGAAGACCTGAAGCCAAAATGGTCTCTTCCTTGAGACTGTTTATAAAAATGATGCTGTAGTTCACTTTTACCACTTTTAACTCAATACCAGTCATACTGCCCATCACAAGAATAAGCTCTCAGGAACTGTTTGTTGTAACACACGAATGGAAGAATGAGATGCGAAAGAAGAGATGATAGTGGTAACCGTTATTGACTGAGGACTGTGTGCCTGGCAGTTCTCATCCCTTTGTCCTTGTAATCTTGACAATAACCCTTGACAATTTGTACATAGGTACCCATCCTATGAAGGAGGTACTACTATTATTTACAGTTGACAGATAAAAGAGTTAAACTTATAAGAAAATTTCCCAGGATCAAACCCAGGACTCTGAAACTCCAAAATGTATAATTTTAATCTCAATTATAAACTACCTAACTTACAGACTGCCCACTTGTATTCTTTGTTTCATATAATCTTAAAATTATTATACTATTTAATATAAGTAAAATAAAGCAATTTGAAATAAGGAAATACATACCAAAAACATATATAGAAAGATATCTCAGCAATTGGTACTGGAATTACTGCATTTCCATATGCCAAAATAAATGAACTTAGATGATAACCTCTACCCCATACTGCAGTCAAAAATTAACTCAAGATGTATCACAGTTCTAAATGTAAGAGCTAAAACTATCAAACATCTAAAAGAAAACATAGAAAATCTATATATGATCATGGGTTGAGCAAAGAATTCTATGATATAACACCCAAACATGATCCATAAAAGAAAAAAAATGATTAATTGGACTTCATCAAATTAAAACTTGACTCTTCAAAAAAACATTTAAAATGAGAAAACAAATGACAGATTGAGAGAAAATATTTGCAAATCATATATATACCTAATAAACCACTGTATCCAGTATGAATAAAAATCTCTTAAAACTCTATAATAAGAAGGCAAGTGTCTTCAGCATCCTAATTCTTAAGATGAACCTAATTCTTAGGTTGAGTAACTGTTTCACCAAAAAAGATATAGAAATGGATAATAAACACAAGAAAAGATGCTCAACATCATTATTCATTAGAGAAATGCAAATCAAAACCACAATGAGATACTTCACAACTCAGTAAGATGGATATAAAAGCCAAAAACAAATGTTGGGAAAGATGTGCAGAAACTAAAACCCTTTTATATTGCTGGTAAAAATGTAAAATAGCCTGGCCAGTGTGTTCAGTGGTTAGAGCATCGACCAAGCGTCTCCGGTTCGATTCCCTGTCAAGAGCACATACCTGGGTTCAGGTTCCATCCCCAGCCCCGGTCAACGCATGTGCAGGAGGCAACCAATTGATGTGTCGCTCTCACATTGATGTTTCTCTCTCTCTCTCTCTCTCTCTCTCTCTCTCTCTCTCTCCCTTCTACTCCCTCTAAAAAAAAAATCAGTGGAAAAAAATTATCCTCAGGTGAGGATTAAAAAATAAACAAACAACAAAAAAAAAGAATGTAAAATAGTGCAGTCACCTTGAAAAACAGTTTGGCAGTTGCACAAAAAGTGAAGTATAGAATTACCATATGATTCCACTCTTGTTCTGTCATTTACGTCTATCAGAAATCAAGGACATTCCCCCCAAGAGACTCCTTTTTTAGCTCTAACCTTCTCTGATGCTCCCCAAGGTGACCGTGGATACCATCCCATCCATGCCCCCTTCACCTTGCCTCTGAGTAGCCAGACGTCCCTTCTGTAAAATATATTCAAAATGAGCTTATGTAGAAGTTCTCCTTCTGTGAAGGTGTTTCTAGAGCCACACAGATTCTACAAGGCTTGATGTACAATGAAAATTCTTTATTATTCATGTGATTTACCACACTGTGGACTGACCCCACTAAACCAGTTTCTGTCTCTGCTGCCCGAGCCCTGACGGCCGCACACTGATCAGTGGGCGAGGGAAAGCAGTAATGTCTGAGTTATCACAGCTCATATTAATTGAACTTTTACTTTATGTCTGACGATGTGCACTTGCTTTATAAGCGTCATCATATATAATTACCACAAGGGGTGAATATTATTATCCCCATTTCACAGATGGAAAAAGTGAACCTCAGGGCAGTTGGCTAGCTTGCACTGGAAGTAACAGGCTAGGATTTGCATGCAGAGTTCTCTGGATCCTGAGCCAGTGCTCTTAACCACACCACCCCTCTTAAATCCCTGCACTTTTCTGTCTGTGGTGGCATCTCAAACTCCAGGCATAAATGGTTTTTGAAATAGTCAGTCTTTAGAACTCCCTCTAAGAATTTAAATTATTAAGAATGTATTAAATAGATTGGAACGTACTGAGAATGACAACCATTTCATCAGCCTCTTTACAGTCTCTGAAAATGTTTTACTCCAAATCTAACAAAAAAAGATAAGTCATCAAGGAGAATATTTTGCTCACAAAGGGCGCTCCTGTGCAAAACTTTTATTTACGTTTTTCTAGGAGAATCGGTGAAAAACATGCTAGTAAAATCACCTACATATGCAGGCTGATTTGTTTATTCAGCCTACTTTATGCCAGGCTGTGTTCTGAGTAATAGGAAGACCGGACTGATCAAGGCAAGCACCCTGCTTACATGGAGCATGCTCTCTAATCGCGAGCCAGGAATCTGTGCTCCATGAGGACAAACTAGTTCAACTCACCAGCCTCTAGAGCGGTCTTGACCATCAGAATAAAAATAGCTCCCAATGGTGCTTTTAAGCTAGTAAGAATTAATTTATCACTGATAAATCAAAAAAGAGATTTAGAGATGAGTTCATTCTATTCCCTGAAAACCTTTAAATTTATATGCTACTTCAGCCCTTTAAGTTCTTTGGGTTCTTTTGTTTTTATTTTTCAAAAATGCTGGACATCATCAGATAGGCTGTTGGAAACCAAATTAAAAGCATTACCTTAAAGGTTTTCAATTTACCAACTCCAGAAAATATATAAAGCTTTTAAAAGTCCCAAAAAGACAAGTTGCTCAAGAGAAGGAAGGAGCTTCCTTCTGAGGCTGGACCAACTGTGCGTGGTAGAATTCATCAGTCTTTCAAAGCCAAAACCAAAAGAAAATATACTTTCTTCCCTTGCTTTTCAACAATGTGTACCATTTACTAAGGGCTTTTCCCCTAATTACCACTTAGTCCTCACAACCACCTTGAAGGTAGGTATGACCATTGCAACTTTATAGATAAGAAAGTGAGGATCAAACACACTGTACAACATGTTCAGTTAGCAGTAGGTCAAGAACTTAACAGATGCCGGAGCCAGCCCTTGGACCCAGGTCCTCTGATTCCCTAAATGATGGTTTCTTCGCTGCTGCCTTGCTGATGACCAAAATGCAATCACCCAGAATCAAGTTTCCTGTGGAAATGGTAGTTCTAAGTGTTTAAGAGGAGGTTACAGACACTAGGATATGTTCAGGAAAAATGGGGATGCTGGGTGTTAACTCCTTACCCTTTCATGGCAAATCCAAGGACATTGCCATAGGATTCAGTGCCATTGTCAGGTCCTGGCTCCAGGAGTCTCTGACCAGTTGGCTTTTATAGCTAATTTTCTGCTTCCCCTGCCCAGTTTTAGTGAACACCACATAGAGGCTGCCCTCTAGCCCTCTATAGCTTTTTTGCAGATTATCTGTTTAACCCTTAGGTGAACATTCCCAATCTCTTGGGTCTGAATATCATTAAAGTATAAGCTCTATGGCAATGATTGTGGCTAATTCTTATTTATTATTTCAGCACTCAGCACAGCCCAGAGGAGGAACTCATTAAAAGGGAGTTGCATTGAGCCCTGGCTCTGGCCAGTTTGGCTCAGCGGTTAGAGTGTCGGCCCGTGGACCAGAGAGTCCTGGGTTCGGTTCCCGCTAAGGGCACATACCTCGGTTGCAGTTTGTCCCCGGCCCCAGTTGGAGCGTGTGGATAGCAACCACTCGATGTGTCTCTCTCTCATCGATGTTTCTCTCTCTCTCTCTTCCTCCCTCTCTCTCCCACTCTATCTGAAGATAAATGCAAAAACAAAAACAAAAAAGGGGGGGGGTCGCATTGAAACATTCGTGGTTGTGATGGTTTTATCTACAAACACTCACCTGAATGTCCCTGTCATCACTTTTAGGTTGGAGAGACAATTGGCATCAGTGAGGAGATTATGGGTCTGACCATCTTGGCTGCTGGGACCTCCATCCCTGATCTTATCACCAGTGTCATAGTGGCCCGGAAGGGGCTGGGGGACATGGCTGTATCCAGCTCTGTTGGAAGCAACATTTTTGACATCACTGTAGGGTAAGTAGAGATAGTTCTATAAAGGTGCATGCCAGCCTCATTACTGTCTTTGAAGCTGTGAAGACATGAGCAGGATCTCTGAGCCTCAAACTAACCAATATCAATAGAAAGTAAAGACTGGGAGTCCCATTTCGTTCTACCAACTCCATTTTTCATTTCCAGAGCACTTAATGAAGAATAATTTATCCCTAGACAAGCAGAAACACATACCTGCATACAGAGTGGATGCTGCAGGACACACTTTAAGAGAATTTCACTTGTGTGATTGCATTGTCTACATGTTATGGTTGTTCAATGTTCAGTCATGTCTGAGATGACCTGGTAGCACCACTTTATATATTTTCATATTCTAATTCTAAATTAACTCCCCACCAGCCTCAGGTGAGATTCGTATTGTAAAGCAGATTGGAACAAACATAGGCTCAGCAAAAGTATCTCATCTCCTTCCTTGGAAAATGCTGGAATATTTGCATTATCATTTGTTTATCTGTGCCAGCGAAGATGTGCTAGGTGTTTTAAATGTCAGAAGATGAGATCTGCTCTTACAGTTAGGCAGACTGGAGTTCTCACTGTGAGTAATCTCCAACATGGATCAGACTGCACAGGGGTGCTGTTACTTCTATCATTTCATTTCATTTGTCAAAAGTAAAATTAGTCTCATAAATAACCTGAAATGGCAGACCCCTGAGAAAGTAAAACATAGGATGTTATCCTGCATTCCCAGAGGAACTGGGATCACAACACGAATTTAAAAACTTACTAAAATGGGTCTGCTCTCTCATTGAACTTCTTAAATATTGCTCTCTCTTATACCTTTCCATTACCTAATATAGATGATAGTATTTTTTTCATTCAGTGTCTACCATGTGCATTGTACAGACATTTTTATCCATTTAAACCCCACAGAGATCCATGAGGTATTTTATCATCCTTGTTTTTCAGGTAAGGAAACTGAAGGGCACAGAGTTCATACACCTAGTAAAAGACATAGCTAGGATTTGAACAGTCTGTGCTCTCAACTGTAGCACTCTCTGTGCATAAAGTCCTGCTTTGAGCTTCCACTGTCTGAACCACCTTTAAGCTCCAAAGGTGCCCTTTTCTGCTGTATTTCCCTTCTTCATTGGCCCCTTCACTCAAGAGCCCTCCCTGCTTGGGAAACTCCCACTTGTCCTTCCAGTGTCAACTGAAATGAGGGCTTCTCTGATTCTCTTGGGCCTGACCTGGGAGCTTTTGCTCCCCGATACTTTCTGCACATCGTACTCTTGTCATGGTCATGGCCATCAGTCTGCCTGCTGGACGGTGAGCTCCCTGAGCTAAGAACTCACCAAAACCTAATGCATTGCCTAATGCGTGGTAGTGGCTTGACAAATGTGTGTAGGATGGATGGATGGACAGACACCTTGAAAGGTATGTTTTAAAGGAAGGATATCACTAATATAAATAGTGTTTCTCAGTTCTAATGTCTACACATTTAGAGTAGTTTTCCTGGTCAATCTCTCGTAAAAAGGAAAACAAAATGTTTTCTAGTATCAAAGAGAAAATCCTAAAACTTGGGGGAAATTACAAGTATTCTAAGTCATATTTGTCATGTTTTTGAAAAATAAATATTTCTAGGGAATTGCAAAATGCTGTTTGTTCATTGTTCTTAAATTGTATATTTAGTAACAATGAAAACTTAAAGAAAAATCAACCCTAATCCTACTACCCAAGAACAACATTAGCTTTTGTATGTTTTGTATGTTCTCTCCCAAATATTTCACAAAGTTTTCCTAGGAAATATTCAGCTTTATTCTCTTGGAGGGCTTTGCTTTCTCCATTTTGAAGGCATTTGTGCTAGACATGGAGTGGGCATCTATTAATAAATTAGTCAATCAACCATTTTTCTAAGCTTCTTCATAGCTCTCATAATTAAAATTTTATGGCTTTAAAATATCCCATCCTGTTGCTTTTCAGTTTAACCATTATCCTTTAATAGGACCTTTCTATTTTTTCCAATTGTCTGCTATTATGAGTGTTTCTATTAACAGTTTTATGCAGAGAAACCTCCTCTTTTAATCAGGATAAGTTCCTTCAAGAAATATTAATGAGTTAAAAATTATGGACATTTTAATGGCTATTGATATATATTTTTCCAAAAGTCTTCCCCACAAATTCATACCAACTTATAAAGTCTTTGGCGATAATTGAGTATAAAATGTCTTTATAGTCTTGCCTGCATTTCCTTTTTGCTTGAGATCAATACATACTTGTGGTGAGAGATTTAGACAGTGCATATGCACCATAAATAAAAATCACTGATCATGCATCACCCTTTTTTAATTTATGTATTTTACATTATTAACATTGCATTGTTATTTTGATATGGATCCTTCATTTTAAATATAGAATTATATCATGAACATTTGCCTGCATCTTCATAAGCTTATGACTTTTCATAACTACATCACATTACAGCAAGTTAATAGTTTACTATTTAACAACTCTCTACTATTAGAGATTAAGGTATACCCAATTTTTCAGAATAACACTAAAATTATTATTTCCTGGATAAAGCTATATCTGCATTTTGAACTATTTATGTGATTCATCCCTGTCAATAGAACTGATAGGTCAAAGGTATGAATAATGTCATTTTTCCCCAAAGGCTTTTTACTTTGTAGTGCTATTAACTGCCTCTTCATCGGAATTGTGTATATGTGTATGTGTCTGTGTGTGTCTGTGTGTGTCTGTGTGTGTCTAGCTTAACAAGCAATGGGAAGTGTGGAAGAAGAGTCCCCTAGGACAAGTCCCAGGAGAGGTTTTAGTATCATCACCACCAGGAACTCCCCTTCCCTTTGCTGACTTTCCATTGCTGACTACAGGGCACCAGGGTGCCCCCTCCTGCACCTGTTCCCTGCAGTGGTCCTGTGGGACCCTTCCCCCCCCGACATCACCACTGAAGTAAGCGCCTCCCAGCCAGGCTCTTGTGGGCAAAGTGCCTGTAAGTGGTCACCTTGAGGCAGTCACATCAATCACGTCAGCTTGGCCCAGGTTAACACATGCACCTGGATGGCGGCCCGCACGTGCCAGGTCCTAGGATTTCAAAGATACATAAGGCGAGGGCTCTACCTTGCCACGCACTCTCTCACCAGCAGAGGAAGTCATGTGTACATTCCCTGCTCCTTTCGCCTCAGTACTTCTCTCAAGCTATATGCTCTTCTTTGGGAGAACTTTGTGTTTGGAAAGGGTGCTTCCTCTTCCGCACGGCTACCCCAAAACTGAATCTCCCTTGGCCTTAGGCTGTGCGGAGGCTCAGCCCACCGGGCGGCGGGGTTTCGGTTCCCGGAGCAGCATTCCACCGTCAGACTGAAGGGGGGGACGTGGCTGTGTCTCACTCGGGGCTCCAAGGACACGCGAGCCCTGCGTGTCCAGCCACGCACCTCTCCCAGGGCCTCGCCCGCTCTCGTGGTGCACTGGCAGCTCTTCTGCTGTCTTTAGAGTTGCCATTCTGGGTAGGAAACAAAGGTTTTATCATATTTTAAAAGCCAAATGCAAAGGGAGAGAACAGGTATTAAAATTCATAATAAGGCTTTTAAAAATCACATCACAGCCCTGGCCAGTTTGGCCTAGCGGTTGGAGCGTCGGCCTGCGGTCCGGAGAGACCTGGGTTCGGTTCCCGCTAAGGGCATGTACCTCGGTTGCAGTTTGTCCCCGGCCCTGTTGGGTTGTGTGGGTGGCAGCCGCTCAATGTGTCCCTTTCACGTCGATGTTTCTCTCTCTCTCTCTCTCTCTCTCTCTCTCTCTCTCTCTCTCTCTTTCCCTCTCACTCTATCTGAACAAAAAAATGGAAAAATGTCCTCCGGTGAGGATAAAAAAAAAAATCACATCACAGATGTAAGATACTGTCTTCCTCAAACCTTTCAGAAAGGTCATTTTTAGAGTGCAAAGGGTGTCCCATCTTTTCCATCGTAAATTTTAGGCAGCTTTTATTGTATTGGCCCCACCATGAACATTTATTCTCACTTGCTTTAGGGTTGTTAATTAAGTCATTGCTATTCTCTCTCTCCATTTTAAAAAAGTAAATTTTCCATTTTTGCTGCTGATTTCCATATCGTTTCTCCATTTGTCTTCTTCCCCTCTCACCCCAATCTTCCAGCTCACTTCTTTAGGTCTGAGAGTGACGTTTTCATCTCCACTAGGAAAGAAACAAAAAATTATTTCAAATCCAATTCAGAAATCACCTACCACCGTTATGTCTTTGCTCTTATTCAAATGGAGAACAAATTCTTTCCATTCTCCCTCATTCGGTCAGAAAATAGAAAAAGGTTTTTAAAGCTCACCTAACTCCCTTATTGGTTTCTGGGCCAGCCAAGCCCGGGTCATAGTGAGCTACAGAAGACACCCTATTCAATGAGAGGTTCCAAGAAGCCAACACTATTTCCTGTGCCCGCGCCAGCGCCCTGCCTGCCCCCTGCCAACCCTGTTCTGTCCCTCACAGGCTCCCGCTGCCCTGGCTGCTGTACACCATCATCCACATGTTCCAGCCTGTGGCCGTCAGCAGCAACGGCCTCTTCTGCGCCATCGTCCTCCTCTTCATCATGCTGCTCTTCGTCATCCTCTCCATCGCCCTCTGCAAATGGCGGATGAACAAAGTGCTGGGCTTCATCATGTTCGGCCTCTATTTCGTGTTCCTTGTGGTCAGCGTCCTCCTAGAAGACCGAATTCTTATGTGCCCGGTCTCCATCTAGCCGGAAAAGCCATATCTTGAACCAACAGCCTGGATGGTCCCTCCCCGCTCTGGGTTTTAGTTTCCTTGACATCTGGAGAAGAGGCAGCTGGCCCCCAGCCCGGGCATGGGGAGTGTCCCTCGTGGGCAGCTGTGAGGAGGGTGGACTCACGCGGACCCCTCGCTTCTCAGGCTGCTCCCACCCCCGCCTGCTGAAATGGCTTCATGCAAGAGACAGAACTGTCCACCTGAGGCTTCTCTCCACTCCCCACTGACAGGTACTCCTCGCTGGTCGGAGGTACATTTGTTGTAATGATGCGCACAATGACAGAGGCTGTGTATATACATAGAAAATATACATAATATAAATAGAAGCATATGGATACACCCGCCTGTTCCTGTACTATACCTCTCCTTCTTCCACGCCTATAGAGTAATACAGACCTGTGTACAAACACAAAGAAACATTATATATATAAAGTTATATAACACACACACACACACACACAAATGCATCTTTTCAGGGATAGCTGTAGTATATTTATTGTATCTATTTGAAGAGGGGCATCAACCTTCCGTCTGAGCTTTACCTCTTAAGTACAAGAAGTAAACTAACAGAATCATTGCTGTGACCTTCAGCCTACTTTAGACTAACTGGGAACCTGCCGAGTAAGGGGGATGCTTTCGGGACATAAGTTTCAGGAGAGAGGGCTGGGTGGAAAGGGTCTGAAGGGGCCCTGAGTTGAGCCCTCCAAAACATTTCCACAAGCCAAACAGAGAAGACTCTCCACCCACCCCCACTGGGACACACTGGCCAGTCTGTTGCTTGGGACAGACAGAGGTAAAACCCAGACTGGGTTTCTCTGGTTTGGGGGCAGAGGAAAGGTAACCAGGGTTGGGTTTTTTGTATGGATATATATATATATATATCTCCCCAGCATGCAAGTAGAAACTATGATTATAAGCCAAATTAGCACTCTTCTAAGACAGTGAGGCTACATAAACTGAACCTCAATTGTTCCAATGCATGTCCCATTATCATCAAAAGAAGGGAGGCAAGTTTAGCTGTGATTGTCATTTAGACATATTTTGATACTAAGGGCTCACATATAATCAAAATGCTGCCAAAAGAGCCTGGGTTATATAATAAGAAATTCCATCCAGGAGAGGTGCTTAGTGAGACTTGCCAACTAATGGGAATGTGAGGGCAAAGTTCTTTAAAGCATCTGCCAGTGTCATCATAAAGGACTTTGGTGTCTGAAGAAATCATTATTCCTTAAATAGAACTAAATGGACTCTGATCGATACTGCTTGAGTAGAGGCAGCTTAGAGATGTTTGGAAAGGAATTTGCACACTAGGAAGGTTTCTGAGTCCAATGTCTAGTGGTGTCAGGACCAGTATTTAGCCCAAGTTCACGCAACATCCATGTTTCCCCTGCCATCAGGACTCCATCTAGGACTCTGTTTAGCCTACGGAGCACACTGAAGACTATACTCAACAGCTTTTTCACACTGGCTTCAAGCTGGTCCCTCCAAGGTTTTGATTTCCTGATTTTGCTCAGCATTCATGGGATATTTTCATTCATTCCATTCAATCAATGCCCTAGGTTCTGTTTGTATGATTTCTCAGATCCATGTGAATAGAAAATAAAACCAGCAGGGGGGATAAAAAGACAAACTAAATTGATTAAAAATACAGTCTTTCATTTCTCTAAGTTATGCTTTTCCTAAAATCAGTTCAAAAAGTCAGTAGAGGATGGCTCATCGTTGGGTACTCATCCTACACCTAAGTTGGCACACACCACTTATGGAAGCTATACCATATGTGTTCTTGTCTCCAGTCTATGGAGTCGGTGATGCTGCTACGATTTCATTGGGAACACAGATTTCCTAATGTAGAGAGACAGGATGAAGAACTCACTGCTAAGAAAAAGAGGGAGGGGGACCTGAGAGCCCCAAATCAAGCCCAGTGTTCCTTCCACAAAACCTCAGTTCACTCCACAGAGCCTGGCGATCATTGCTCTTCGCCCACGCTCAGAAAGCACTCTAAGTGGAGGCCCACTGGGAAAACAAGAAGTCAGGACGGTACCACCCAGGAGGCTGGCTTTCAAGTCTCTCCCACTTTGCAAAGTTAGCTTTTCAGATGTGTGAGAGCAACCTCATCCCATTCAGCAAGGGCAGCATTTTGAATTGAGGGAAGAATATGTGCTAGTTCCTCAGAGTAAAAGAGAATAAATGAACTTTTAGTTAAAAACTCTGCTTGTTTTCCCTGTGCGTGACTTGAAGGGGAGCCAAGTTGGTTATTTCAAGAATGTGTATTATTATTGACTGGTTTGTTATTTGAAAGAAGGTTTCAACAGGTGACTTTGACTTCACAACAGAGAGACTATGTAAAACCATAAAGGATGAGGGAGGTCCAGTGCAGCCCTGTTCTTACTCCAGAACTTCCTGACGATGCCCACACCTCCTCGCTTAATTCCCAGATCACCGCAAAGACTCATCCAAGCAGCCATAGAGCCTTTTACTTGCCTGGAGCTCCATTTCATAGGGAGTGCTGGGATCATTCATGAAAAGTTGTACTTGAGAAGACAGTGTTTCATGGCCCCAGGCCCACCTCAGTGGCATGCACGGATCACGGCCTACAGCTGCAGCGTCCCCCGCCGGCTGGTGCACGGCTGTCCCCCTGCCCCTTGCTTTCCTTCGTTATGTGTCTGTGAGGTTATGTGTTGGGCTATGGTAAATCCAGAGGGAAGTGTATGGGATACAACCGTAGATCTTTAAAAGCATTAAGATCATTCACATAGCCCTGGCCAGTTTTCTCAGTGGTTAGAGCATCAGCCCTGGACCATTGAGTGGCGGGTTCAATTCCAGCCAAGGGCACGTACCTCAGTTGCGATTCCTCCCGGGCCCTGGTTGGGGTCCTGCAGGAGGCAGCCACTCAATATGTCCCTTTCACGTCAATGTTTCTTTCTCTCTCTCTCGCTCTCGCTCTCTCTTCCTCTCTCTCCCTCCCACTCTATCTGAACAAAAATGGAAAAATATCCTCAGGTGAGAATAAAAAACAAGATCGTTCACAGAAGAAAGAACTTTCCACATCACAATTTCTTTCCTATGTAGGTCATCTCTATTGCCTCTGCTGCATGGCTGTGAATATACATATATAAATAGACATCTTTATGCCAGATCTGTATGTACATACACAGTATCTCTCACATCATCACCCTCTGGCCCAATCACACGCAGGATTCAAAAGCAGGGAGCAGCAAGTCTGCCATAGTGAAGGAGGAGCCATGCTCATCAACGACCTCACAGCGTTTGATCTGTGCACACACACTTTCCAGCACACACATGTGTACCCACTCCATGTGTTTCCCCCGCAACAGGATAGATTTACAGCCTTACAGAAATGGCCAGCCATGTCCCTAATGCTGGCAGAGAGGCAAAAAATATACAACAGAAAAATATGAGGGAAAATTTTGGACTTCAGATACTCTCTTTGCTTCCCTGGAACAGGCTATAAAATAATATCAAAAACTCAAGAGCCAACTTCTTACTGCTCAATCTAAAATAAACGAGCTGCCCCAAATCGTCCCATTTGCCCACAGCCAACCAAGCAGGTCGTGCTCGCTGTCACTGCCCGTCACCCTAGGCAGTCTCAGGACAGGAGAGCAACTTGGCTCAAACTGAGAATGCCCAAACAGAACCTTCCAGATTGCATGTGGGCGTGCCCACGCTGGGGCCAGCTGCCCTCCGGACCTGGCTCGCTCCTGAAGAACTGCAGCTGGAGCGCAGGTGGTGCTTACCAGCCTCCCGGGCAGGGACAGGTGAGGCGAGCACAGCGCACGCGCACGCGCAAGGAGCGAGGCAGGGTTGTATCAAGTTGGCAGATGCGGAAGAATATTCGAAAGCCTTTTCAGAAGGTTATTAAGAGATTATAAAAATATTTCATATTCAGGAAAAATTCTCCGTAGGGCTTCTGACAGGTGTCACCTGACAAGGGCCATTATTATTTACTTTCCAGGGAAGACAAGAATCAGGTGGTTTGGAGCCTTGTCAGCAAAACACAGCTGCCCCGCTGATGAGACATTTGATAATATTAATATACGTCCTGGGCAGGGAGAGAGTTGGCAAATGACCCACCATTGCTCACAGCTCTTAAACTGTCTCTTCTGCAACAGGGAGATAGGGGATGAGCTCTAAATGGAAGCCTCCCTCCCCCACCACCTTAACAGAAAGCTGACCGAGGAAATGACAACAGACAGAGCTGCTGGCCAGGCAGAAGGTGGAAAAGAGGGGAATTCAGTGTCCTGCTGAAATGACGGGCTTGGAATATCTGGCATGGGTCTGATCACCTATCTGAGTGCAAGCATTTCAAAAAACTTCAGTTTGCTTTCTTCTTTACATCAACACACACACTCACACACACGTTTATGAGAATGCCTCACTTTCCCACAGCTGGACAGATTGTTACTCCATTAATTAAATGGCCTTATTATAGGAGGCAGTTCTGTTCCAAAACAAATAAAGGGAAGCCCTGGCCAGTTTGGTTCAGCAGTTAGAGCGAAGGTCCGCAGACTGGAGAGTCCCAAGTTTGTTCCGCTAGGGGGGTAACTCAGTTGCAGTTTGTACCTGGGCCTGGTGGGGGTTGTGTGGGTGGCAACCACTCGGTGTCTCTCACATCGATGTTCCCCCGCCCCCAACTCTATCTGAAGATAAATGCAAAAATGTCCTCGAGTGAGGATTTAAAAAAAAATAAAAGAAGAAAGAAAGGGAAAATATCCTCAGGGTGATTTCTGGAGAAATCAGCTGTCTCCTGAATGCTCGTTATAGAAGCTAATGCTCATCCTTGCTAAGAAAGATCTCACATAACCACATGGCTTAATATTTTTAAAGACACACCCTCAACTCTTACAGCTTCCTCAGCAATATTGTCTTCAATTAAGGCTTGTCATTAAGAGAGGGTTTAGGGGGGCAGGAGAAGAATAAGGAAAGGAAAGGAAGGAAAAGTTAATTTACTTTTACTGGGATTCCCAAGAAAGCAGGTGTCACATTGATATATATCCCCATGTAGTTTAAAATAATTACAAAATTCAGGCTTTTTCAGAACAATTACAAGAGCCTATATAGAGTCCCAGATTTAAAAAATTGTCCCTTCTCAACAAGGCCTTGGAAAAGGTAGGTAAGATGCTTCTGGGTAACTGCCTATTTAACGTTTGCTTCTTGCCTCTGTTTCTTTGTGTTTCCTTTCTAATCTCACAGCTTCATATTCTTTGAAACGTGTAGCAGACAAGAAAAGCAATAAAGGGCACACTCACAGCCAGCTAAACTTCATTACTTAACATGACATCATCACAATTTCACATCACTGGGCTGGGGCGATTGGAGAATTTAGGCATCTGGAGAAATCATAGGCATACATGTTTGCTATAGAAAAGCATGCTTTCCACTGAGACCCCACCCCCATACTGTGTGCACTGCCATTTGACATGCCTGTCCACACACGGGGTCAGGCTTGCTCAGAACCACCTGCATTCCACAGTGGTCTTTAATCTGACTCGTGACAACAATTGTCTTTCAAAAGAAAGAGAAAGCTACACAGGACAAACCAATCCACGAATCAGCTGGATTTTTTTTTTTTTTTTTTAGAGACAAAAATGACCCTGTAATTATGATTGGATAGATAACTATGTTCAAATGTGTGAGACACTGTGCAACAACACATTATCTAAATCAAAGCACTTTTCGCTAAATGATTGATGGACAGACTGGACAACCGTAAATCACTTGGTATAAACAGATAAATACGTAAGTCTGAAAAAGAGTCATGGGATTTGCATGGAGCTTGCTAAAGGTTTGATTCTGTTAAGAGAGTTTGTCCAATTTCAGACCTTAATCTAAAGGACACCCCCTTGTGGAAGAGCAAAGACATTTCTGCTGTAACCCACTTCCATCAACCACTAATGTTAACAATCATCAGCCATCAGAAAAGTCTCCTTCTGGGTGAAACCACACCCTTCACGTTGATGACTTAACCTATGTTTTTTCTTTTGGGCAGAAAAGAACTGTGTCCTCTCACCCTTTCCTATTTACTCTTGACATACTTAGGAGTCACCACCGTGTGACCCTTTATTTTCATCAAAAGTATCTTTAGATTTGTATTTCTGTGTCATTTTTCCTAACCTTCTTAATAATTTTTACAGCCTTCTCTATTAAGCCTTTATAAATGCGTTATGTTGCTCTTAAATTATGGAAACTTATGACTAATCATGACACAAGTATGACGTCTGAACACAGCTGAATTACAGCCTCCAACCTAACACTCTGCTCCCTTTTTATGCACCCCTCTGTCGCCTTTACCTTTAGGAGGTCACACTTCATTACGCACTCGCGTTAATCTTGTGTTCCCTCTGACCCCTGTGTCTTATTCTAAGACTGGGCGAAGCCAGGCAGTTCTGTCTGCCCCGTGCATGTGAATAGGCGTCCTACCTGCCATGAACCTGTCCCCACTTGGCCTCATGGAATCTCAGTCCATTTATTCTAACGCCATGTCCAGTTTTCAAGTCCAGGTTGGACCCAGGACTTACTCCCCTTCAAGGTTCTCACCACCAACTTTCCCAGTTTACTCGCATTTGGCTAGTTTAATGAGCATTTCTCCATCTCATGAATGTGAATGTTCAAAAACGCTAGACTCCTGCCCATGCAACCTACATTTTGTGTGTCTGACTACTTCTTATGGGGCAATCCCTCCTAATTGCTACTAAACTGTGAACAGATTTCACAACCACAAGATAGCAGAGTCGCAGAAACACCCTAAGTGCACAGCAGGCATTTATCCTGCAGTGGAAAGTATGAACACTGGGTGTAGCATTATCACGAGGCCCTGGGGAGGTCAAGCTTATGAGCTTCGTGTGAAGGTTAAAACCCCCACTCACAGAGCACTCAGAATAGGGGAGGCACCACCAGACACCGTTCAGAAACTCTGGACCCGCACTTGCCTGCATTGATTGACCCCAAAGCAATTTATGTTTTCCCTTTAAATAGGAAACAGGGGAAATGGTTGGCCCTCCTCTTATCACTCAGTACTGCAGTGCATTTGCTTCCTTGTGTGCTGGGCTGGATGGGAGCTGTACGGCCGTGGATTGGTTCCTAGCCCAGGGCAGTGGGCGACGGTTCACCAGCAGGATGGGAATGTGCTCCCGTTCACACACACTGGGTTGCATATTCCTTCAGTGGGTCCTTAAGGAGCCAAGGCCATGGGACTGACAGTGTTCTACATTCAACCAACCGAAAGAGGATATTTTTAATATCATGTGACACACACAAAAAGAATGAATGAAATCTGAATCCCTGAATAAAAGAAGAAAATTAGTTTAAGGATGAAATTACATGTGTGAATTAAGAGTAGATAATTCCTTGCCATTTAACTAAACATATCTTCAATTCTTCTCATCAGGATAGAACAGTAGGACAATGGATGCCTTTTGGGTTTTTTAATTTTTTAATATTGCACTTTATAGTACTTCATAGGAGACAATTGTCTTAATTAAAGCCATAAAATACCAATAATACATATAGTTAGGGTTTCTGAATATAGTCCATTAATAAGCAGTCCATGAGTCATTCCTGTTTTGTATTATTTGTTGTAAATTAGAGTTTATCTGTTCTGTTTTTTATTGCATAAAATTATTGTTCTAGATGATCCTAATCTACATAAATTTTAGATGTGTACTTTAACAAACTCTGAAGATCAAAGAAATAATTCGCAAAAGCATTCTTCATTTTCAAAAGAGCATGTTACACAGATC